CATCCCAAGCCAACTCTTAACCAACACGCCACTCGGCCGGCCTGCACCTCATTTCTTAAATGCTCTAATAAGTCCTTATAACCTTCAGAGCTCACCGTAATGTTCCTGGGTACAAGCTCAACTCACACAATTCCATCAAGGTCAAAATACACAATTAACATCAGCTGGATGGCACTCGGCCACAGCATTCACCATATTGTTTGATCACACCTATATATGCTATATAGTTATTTATATATATGATGACTTTAGTCAGTTATTTAAAATATATATCTAGACTTCTTTTTGCCTTGTTTCTATAGGTGGCTGAAGGATGGCCAACTAATCGATGAAAGGGATGGATTCAAGATTTTACTAAATGGACGCAAACTGGTTATTGCTCGGGCTCAAGTGTCAGATACAGGCCTTTATCGATGTGTGGCCACAAACGCTGCCGGAGACCTCAGGAAGGAATTTGAAGTGACTGTTCACGGTATGCTCCGGATGGAAGAAGAACACTCATTTAAAACTAATTTGCGCATTGCTTCATTGTCTAATTCAGATTGTAGCGCTACATAAACCTAGAAAGTAATGTCAAGAATGTGAATTTGAGTTAAATCACAGTAGATTTTAAGTCACTTTGTTAACACAGAGACTTACCCAAGAGATACCATATGAGTGAGTATAGACAGAACTTAAATGTTAAGGAGTCTATTCTGCATAGAAAGCCAGGGTCTGAGAAATGCCACCAACTAAGAGGGAGGAGGCAGGCAGCAAATTCCAAGGAAAGGAGTTAGGACAGCCTTGAAGGGCTTCGCCAAAATCAGAGGGAGTGTGAATAAAATCATTTCCAGAAATGAAGGCTGAGGATGGAATGCTGGATGCAGGGCACGTAAGTGCATTCATAAAACTGGCACAATAGTGTCAAGACCATTAATCTCATGACAGAAGCAGCTTTCTGCCAGGGTATTGTGTGTCTCACTTGCCAGCAGGCCTTGGGAAGGGAGGGGCTGGAGTGAGAAAGTGGAGACCCATCTGGAAGTCACAGCAGAGGTTTCTATGAACATCACCTCCGTTTTCCCCTCTGTCAATGCAGACTGTTTCTCCTGCTTTTTCAGTTCCATGATGGAATATGCCTTTCCTGTTGCTCAATCTCGATTCCAGTTCCTGAGGGAGGGAATCTGGCAGGGCCAGCTTAAATCAGGTTACCATCCTGGGTTCAGTCAGCGTTGCTGGGGGCAGAGTCGTGCAGTATAAATGTGGGTACTAGACACTTACCCTGATTTAGTGAGGTAGTTCCTGAGAAAGGGAGGGTCATAATAGATTGGGAAAACACACCGAAAGGTGTAAGCCAAACATGCATGTAGATTGCAGTTGCTATAAATACATTTTACTTATTCTTTGGAGAATTAGAGATCCATAGTTAAGCAATGGGCAATTGCTTAAAATATAAATAAAATGCATGGGATGAAATTGTTTCTTTTTTTTTTTTTAAATAGGGATTTTTCTGTTTGTAAAATTTGGGTTTCAGTTTTTTGCATATGGATGTTCAAGTGTTTTGCCCACTGATTATGGTTTTTGTTCCCTCCTTTTCTTCCTTCTCTCCCTCCCTTTCTCTTTTCTTCCTCTCTCAAATCTAGTTCCTCCAACAATCAAATCCTCAGGCCTTTCTGAGAGAGCTGTTGTGAAATACAAGCCTGTCACCTTGCAGTGCATAGCTAACGGCATTCCAAATCCATCCATCACGTGGTTAAAAGATGGCCAGCCTGTGAACACTGCCCAAGGAAACCTCAAAGTAAGTATGAATATTACTGAGTTCCCAACGAGAAAGCTGCATAGCTCTTCCCGGAGCCATCACACGCTTCTTCCCTAATTGTCGATTTTTCCTGTTGGACAGATTTTGCAGAAAATGTATTAAAACAAGATGTGTTTTCTTCAGGTTTTTTTTTAAGAATTTCACTTGGTATTTTGGCTTGAAGAGTGGCATTGATTAAAGGCTAATAACCTTCACAAGGATATCAATTTTAACATATTGATTGGTAGTTTTATTATTTTGATTTATGCTTAACTAGTGAAAAATTGGTGTTTTGTGGATGAGCAGTGTTCATCAGTACTAAGTCAGAGTATCCCTCAGATGTTTACCATAGATTAAGAGTAAAGGCATATCAACATAAACATAACTGAAATAAGTCTTGAAAAACATATTTTAACTAGNGGCAAACTGCAGCTCGTGAGCCACATGCGGCTCTGGGTAGTTCCGTCTCAAAAGTTTGCCAACCCCTGGAAGAGCCAATCCTGTCCCTCACAACAATTTAAAAATTATTCGAGAGCCATAAATATATTTTTACATAATCACCATTATGTGGATAATATCCTTTAAAATTATTATAAGTGAAACCATGATAGTTTTATTTTGATTTTCAATTTGACTTCAGAGCCACATGTATGTACCCAAAGAGCCACATGTGGCTTGCCAGCCGCAGTGTGCTGACCCCTGGCCTAGAAGAGACAGACATATAGGTAGTTTTCTATGGTGAAACTATGTGAGAAAAAACAAAAACAAAACCCTTTATTCATTAGGATTCAAATAAGTGCCTGCAATATTATTTTTTTCTGCCTAGTTCCTCCAATGATTGAAGGTGACCTGGCAGTGCCTCTGACTAAGCAAGTGGTGATTGCTCATCCACTGACACTGGAGTGCAAAGCTGCCGGCAACCCTCCTCCAGTTCTCACCTGGTTAAAAGACGGGGTGCCTGTGAAAGCCAGCGACAACATCCGCATAGAAGCCGGTGGGAAGAAGCTAGAAATTATGAGTGCCCTCGAAGCAGATCGGGGACAGTATGTATGTGTGGCTACCAGTGTGGCAGGAGAGAAGGAAATCCAGTACGAAGTTGACGTCTTAGGTAAATAAGGAAGCCGTTATCTGGATTCTCAGATTCACAGCCAAACTTGAGGCGTTTCTGAAATGCTTTCGGAGGGAAGGGGGGACCCTGAAAAAATAAAATAATCTTAGAGAAGGTTTAGTTACCTTCTCATTCCTGCACATTCCTGAGTGGTAGATTGAGGTATCACTGGAGTCCCAAGATTGAAAAACCCACTGATCTTGATAGGTAACTTTTTAAGTACTTAGGTATGTTTTCCATCGGATGACAACATCTGAGTGCAGTGAGGGATAACATGGGCTTCTGTCATGAGCACTGTCCCAGACAACAGGAAACTAGTCTCTGGGACTTGGGAAGTACTCCTGCAACCTCCCAGTCTCTACTTCTTTATAAATTGAAGGCTTTTGAAGAGAGGCCCCATTGTTGAAGTCCCTTTCTCTTATTCTTATGAAAATAAGAATATTCAGATGGCATCAGCAGCGGCATTGTGCTCAATTAATTGAGAAAAATCTACAATGTGTCAAAAGTACATTCATCAATCCTGGCGAGTGTGTATTGTAAAATGTATTTTACATTTCAAATCCCCTTCACGTACCAAATGACTGTGACACTCCCCAACGTTCTGAACTGTGATGTAGTATTGTTTAAAGTGATGGTGCATTTTTTTCTTGTATGTATTTCATTATAAGCTACATCTCTGATGTTTTCCAGTGCCGCCAGCGATAGAAGGAGGAGATGAAAGATCTTACTTCATAGTGATGGTTAATAACTTACTGGAGCTAGATTGTCAAGTGACAGGCTCTCCACCACCAACTATCATGTAAGGCTTTTGGTATGTCTTCTAAATACCTCCCACTTCTTAATTTGAGTGTTTTAGAGCTGTCTTGAAAGAGGTTTGGTGTCCTTGAAAAGGGGTTGTATAAAGTTACATTCTTTATATTCCTCTTTTAAAAGACATACTCTATATACAAGGTAATTTTTACTTCATACTCACAAGACACTTAAATCTGCTCGATGAGAGGAATTCCATTTATGCTCTTAGAAATTACATTTTCAGTTCATAGAGACAGACTATTGGGCAGTGTCTGTTAGATCTTCCCAAGGCACTGAAATATTTAGTGAATGACTCAATCAAAAGAAATGTACCAGTAGGGAAATAGAGTTCACATACATATCTGTGTACCAATTCTTTATTCTCATTCCTTCATTCACTAAGCATTTCTTGAATACTTATCTTGCATTTCCTAAGTGCTACAGGATATGCAAAGGAATAGCCAATTAAGGGGATAAAATGTGTTTGCGTATGATGATAAACCTATATGGAAAGTGATAACTCATAAGAAATGAGTTTTATTTTACAGATGTCTTAAGATTGTGTTCATTTTGCTAGTTACCATTATTTAAACATTTGATGTAAATAATATTTAGGGGTATTTGCCTTGTTTTGTAGCCTAACATTAATAGACCAAAGAAGAACTCAACACTTATTATAGTTACTGGGTTCCTACAATATGCTAACTTCTGTGTTGTGCCATCTTTTCTTCTTTTCCCCATTTACTATTTAATTTATAAAATGAGTAAATAGGGAATTAGGCAAAAACACAACTGAGAATTTATATATTTATATATGTATATAAAAATCTAATATATAAGTAAATTTAGTTCCTCCAAAAGATTTATAATACAGTAAAACCTTGGATTGCGAGTAACTTGGTTTGCAAGTGTTCTACAAGACAAGCCAACATTTCTAATACATTTTAATTTTGTAAATGAGCAATGTCTTGCAATATGAGTAGCTTGTTTCCAGAACAAATTATGCTCGCAAACCAACACACACACACACACACACACACACACACACACACACACACACACTGTGATCAAAAAATACAGTGACTGTTTAAATTTAAAAATATATTACAGTAAAAGACACATTGCCATTAATCCCCCTCAAAATATACCCCCTCGTTCTTGCAGTTCTGGAAGTCGTCTTTCGTGAGTGTCTTTAGTTGCACTATCATGGCTGCCCTGATGTCCTGAATGGATTCAAAACGTTTACCTCTCATGGTCATTTTGACTTTGGGGAAGAGCCAGAAATCGCACGGTGCTAGATCTGGTGAATAAGGCGGATAAGGACACACTGTAATGTTTTTATTTAACAGAAATTGCGTTACCAGAAGCAATGTGTGATGTGGAGCATTGTCATGTTGTCATGATGGAAGATAAAACGGCCCATTTCCCTGGCCGTTTTCTATGCACGTCGTTTCTTTTTATTTTTTTAATTAATTAATTTTTTTTTTTAAGATTTTTATTGGGGAATTGGGGGATGGGAACAGACAAGTTGCTGTTTTGTTCTTCAGTCTAGTTGTGGACAATGTCGCTTCACTGGCCCAAGTTGACACCATCATTGAGCTCTTCCCGGGCGAGGCAGATCAGTCGCCGGCTTCTGGACGGCCTCTCACTGCGGCTGCTGGTCGCTCACACTGGCTGCTGGCTACACACGGTAGCCCATGGCAACCCACTGCAGCAGTGGTTGCTGCCTACGCCGTCGCTGGTGACTCACGGCAGCCCAGCTCCAGGTCTAGCTGTTGTTCTCATCTTAGCTGTAGAGGGCAGTGTCACTGGCCCTCATATGTGGGATCCGAACCGGGGCCCTCTGNATATATATATTTGTTAGATTTATACTAAAAAGTTCAACTTCGATTCATTTTTTAATCTCAGATGGCTTAATAATTTTTGTGATTAATAAGAGAGGAAACATAGGAAAATGAAAATGGACCCAAGGAATAACATTTTGTATTTTCTAGGCCTTTGTTTTTGGGAGATCCTAATATTGAACTTCTGGACAGAGGACAAGTTTTACATTTAAAAAATGCACGAAGAAGTGACAAGGGCCGTTACCAGTGCACCGTGTCCAATGCAGCTGGCAAACAAGCCAAGGACATAAAGCTGACTGTCTACAGTAAGTGTGGCTGTCTTACGCTTGTTATTATTATCCATTCTCAGTAAATGAAGAAGCAGGGTTTATTCTACCGTTACTTGCTCTTTTGTTCACACTGAACAATTCGGAATGCTACTTACTTTAGAAGGAAGAGCCTGTCTTTCTGTGTTTTAGGCTAGAACGTTACATCCAATTTGAATGCATTTTATTGATAAGTATGGATTTCTTCAAGTGTTCTAGGGGTTTTCATAGCATCTCACTTAACAGGTCAAGAGTTTCCAAATTGGTTAGTCTGTCCATCAATCAAAGGTCTACATCCTTTAAGGTGGAAAAAAAGAAAATAACCCTCATAAAAGGGTAGAGATGCATGACACAGAATGAAGCGGATGGTATGCAACCTCATTTGTTGTATTTTCAGTTCATTTTGGTATGTGTGCTGACCACGTGGTAGTATTTTAAATGTCTTTTGTTTGTGCTGCTGTTTTCTCCCAGCTAAGTCCCCACCAGAGATATGTAGCTTTTATTTCACTAAAATTCACAGTACTCCCTGAGGAAGGTGACTGGCAAAGTCACTTTACTTTTTAGGCACAGAACCGTAAGGAAGGCATAAGAATATTATGTTGCAGGCATAAAGAATTACGCAATAGAAAGGAGTGACACTCAATAGGTCAGTCATGCTTGTGATTCTCCTTAAGGTTTTCTGACATCCTTCCCCCCTAAAAGGAACCAGGGCATCTTGGAGAAATGGTTAATTCTAGGGCTGGGGCAGGAAATGTACAAGATGAGCCCCGAGTATGGAGAAGGACCAGAAATAAGGAAGTACTAAACAATAAAATGACATTGAAAGGGACATAGGAGCCAACTGAAATAGCTTCCCATGGCCAAGACTGAAACAATTTGAACAACAAAATAAATAATGTAGTATTAAATTGGAACCCAAAGTATAAAATAAATTTCCATGAGTTCATATTGATATAAACAAATAATTGAAAAATAAATAAATTGGAGAGGAGAGACAAATCTTCCATATAGAAGAATTCCAAATAAATTATATAAGTATTTCCCTCTCAAGGATGTAGAACACAGCTTCCCACCCCAGATGTATGGCTGGGAAGAGTGGTTCTTTTCAGAACAAAGGGGCGAAAGAGAGCAACTCTACAGTGGAGAAAAGCTGGCAAAAGCTCCCTGGGCCAGATTGCCAAGGTCAACATCATCAGGGATAACCATGTTTACAGTCTGTACCCCTGACATGATGTGATGAGGATGGCGCTTTACCTCTGTGATCTTCCCAAAACCAGTAGCCCTATTCCAACCATAAGAAAAACATTCCACCAAATACCCGCTTCTAAAATAAAAGTGCAATAAAATAATGTCAAGGCACTAAATTCAGGCGCATGCCCTTTGATTTCCTTTAAATTGTTGCAATTAGCGCAATCCTGGAATGTCCACTGTTCAGAATATGTGGCCGTTCTGAGCCACTTGAGTTGCTTTTCTAACAGAGTCGTCATGTGGTGTGAGAGGCCAAGCATGTGGTTGCTGAATTATGGAAGATACACATGTACCCAATTAGATGAGTAAAGTTGAGTGAATGAAGCCTTGGCTGTTCCAAAAAAAAAAAAAAATATGTAGGAAGCAAAAGTTAGACTGCACAGCTCTTACCAGTAGCTGTTTCTGAAAGTGTTTAGACCTTTAGTATTTCTTGGGGAGAGGGCATGATGTTTTACCACATCTGACATTTTTCCTCCCTTCACCTGATTTTAATCATATCGCATTTACTTTAAGTGGGGTTTTATTTTGTTCTGCTTTGTACGTTAAACATAACGTTCTCCATACTGTAATATGATCTATTGGATCTAAATGAACCTCTGCAACTATAGCTGTGAGTCTGCTTTTGCTGAAATCTGAAACCCAGGAGGAGGGTGAGGAAGAATGACAAAGCCAGGCCATTAATTATCAGTAGATAAGTCACAGACTTCCTAATTATCTTTAATTTGTATTTACATTAAATGTATTATGTAAACATCTATAGCATTGAAGTTTTTGATGCAGATGCTAAAGCTTAGAAGACTTGTTTCTGTTCTGAAATCTTTCGTAGTTCCACCAAGTATTAAAGGAGGGAATGTCACCACAGAAATATCAACATTAATCAACAGCATAATTAAACTGGAGTGTGAAACAAGGGGACTTCCGGTGCCTGCTATTACTTGGTATAAGGACGGCCAGCTAATCATATCCAGCTCTCAAGCACTTTATGTTGATAAGGGACAATTTCTTCATATCCCTCGAGCACAGGTCTCTGATTCAGCAATATACACGTGCCACGTAACCAATGCTGCTGGAACTGCTGAAAAATCATTCCACGTGGACGTCTATGGTAAGGAAAAAAATAGGTGCTTTCATTATATACCTTTCTGTCCATGCTTTCTAATTTGCCAGCTTCCACTTTGTTCACTAATAAAGTCTTGGTGGGTTTGGTCATTTTCAATATGCATGGGAAGGAACTGGAAAAAATGTGTCCCATGATTTGGAAAGATATTTTTAAAATATCTTTAAAATATCTTGCTATGGTTAGCAAGAAGTGGTCCATTCATTTGGCCAACCATTTGCCCATATCACTTGGGACAACCATACTATTGGTGTTTATGGAGAAGGTAACATAATTGTAACATAACTATTTGCCTCTTGTAAACCACAGTATAGAGTATCCCACGACATTAAGAATAGTCGCAAATCAGATGAACCAAGGTGAACCTTCTTTTCTCAACAGCCTAGAGCAGGGGTCAGCAAACTGCGGCTCACGAGCCACATGCGGCTCTTTGGGTACGTTCCGTCTCAAAAGTTTGCCGACCCCTGGAAGAGCCAATCCTGTCCCTCACAACAATTTAAAAATTATTCGAGAGCCATAA